GACCTAAAACAGATAAACTCAGATCTTGGAAAATCTTCAGATGACCCTGACAAATGCACTGATGTCTTTACAGGACTTACTCAGACTTATGAACTGAATTGGAAAGATATAATGTTACTCTTAAATCAAGCATTGACTTCTAATGAGAGGCAAGCATAATTGCAAGCTGCTACTACATTTTGGAGATGAATATCATATTGTTAATTTTGAACTGAAAAAAGACAGCCAGTGGAACTACCTGTGCCCACGGGAGCCCAAAGAGTTCCCACCCAAGGCCCCTACTGGCATAATAACCCAGCAGGAGATTGGAAGAGACATTTTCAAGTGTGTATTCTTGAATGTCTAAGAAAAATAAAACAAAACCTTTTAGTTATTTTAAATTTTCAGCTATTTATCAGGAGAAAGAAAGAAAACCCCTGTGCTTTTTTAGAACATTTAATAGAGGAACTGTTAAAATATTCTTCCCTAGATCCTAATTCAATAGGGGGACAAATTCCTCTTATTGATAAATTCATTACTCAGTCAGCCTCACATACTAGAAAAGAGCTACCAAAGCTTTTTCCCCAGATAACTCACTTGATACTTTTGTTGTAGGCAGCTAACTTAGATAGAAACATTACAAGTAGTCACACAGCTATGCCCTCAAGGTGACAATACGGAAGACAAGGCCACTTTGCAATTTTGGGAGAGACAAGCACTCTGCTTTGAGCCAGACCTCAAGACAAAAGAATAAACAAATGCAGCCACATACTTCCCTAGGGAAGGGCATCAGGGAATGACATTAATAGGTATCAATAACCTTGAAAGAGTCACTAATGCAACCCCAACTGCAAGAGACCCCATCCCATATTCATGATGCTTGCTACTTCACTTGCCCATTTGATTCCAATTTAATCAATTTTACCACAATAATGGTGCTTGTAATCTTATTGGTTGACCATAGTTTTGTTTTACCTCATTCCCACCAAAGCGAATTCACATGTTCTCCACATTAGACCTGCTGCACTGCATGGTTTTACTCTATGAAAGTCCCTAACTAAAGCAAGTACCTGCTTAGGCAGAGCACAGCAGCTGGGGTTTGATCCTCAGGACCCCATGCCATGCGGGTCCTGCCCCCTGGGTACACTGAGATGGCAACTGCAACCAGAAATGGTGGCGAGTGCATATAATCCCAGCTTTTAGGATTGAAAACAGGACAATGACTATGAGTCTAATCTGTGTAGTGGGACCCTGTAGGCCCTGTAGACCCTATACTAAATACATTTTTTAAAGTCCCTAGAAATAGAAGATTCTTGGGTTAACCTGCTTAGCTCCCCATTCTGTCCCTCTCAGACAGAAGCTTTTTTTCTCCAATAAATATTTTGCTTTTAACCTCCATTTGTTCCTAAAATTCATTCTTTGGTTTTAGTAAACATGAACTCATCCCAGGTACCTTTCATATTGGGAGTTTCATTCTCTATATCAATGTCATTTTTATGCTCAAAATCTGGCCCCTCATTTTACTCAAGATAAAAGAAAAAATAAATAACCTATGAGACCTCTACATCCTGGATCTCTCTTGTCTTTCTACATTTCCTTCATTCTCATTTCCCATGGCTACTGCTTTCTTTGATATTGCCGAAACACACAAGGAAATCACAATGTTTCATCCTTACTTGCTACCTTTCTTCTCAGATGTCAGCCTGAAAAATCTCCTCATTTTCTGGAAGCTTTTGCTAACATCTTTATTTTCAAGAAGGGTTATGCTTATTACTCTCTTTAATACTGCGACCCTCCTTCTCTTTTTGTAGGCTAGACACGTCTTTTTTGATGCTCTATCTCCCTTTTGTCTCCTTCTGTTCTTTAACCTCTATTCATCTCAATGGAATCATTGAGTAGTACCTATTTCTATTGCCAGAAAATCGCTGGCACTTCCATGAAGTCAATGAATTGTCTTCTCCTATAGCTAAGCGTTCACTTATGGAAAGTGTAACTTTCAAATTGGGAAAGTCTGATGGATATGAGCCAATGCCCACCTACTTTTCAATACACTGCTTTCCTAAGTCTATCCTTAAATTCTTTCTTTTGTGCTTCTCACAAGCTTAATCATCTACTAGATAATCTTTCTGTCTCATTCTGATAAAATGAGTCTTCTTCGAGTGATTAATTCTTGCCTCTCGTGAGCTCACAGGATAGGAAGTTCAAAATATATTTCTATTAGCTAGAACTATATGTTTTAATTTATCTTTGATATACTTTTACCTTTCCTGTTATCTCTCAGCTCTGTCTATAGAATCTAGCATATTGACATCAAGCATGTTCATATAATAACTGACATATTGTCCAGCCTTAAACAACACCAATTTCCTATTATCTATACCCAAAGCACTGTAGAGGTAAAATACGCTTTTTTTTTTTTTTATTATTTTAGGAAAGAGTCTGCAGGGTGTTCAGGGCCTCACTACTAGATTGGACTCATAGAGATTCGTCTGTTTACAGCCTCCCAAAAACTGGGATTACAGGCACATGCCACTACGCCCAGCTTCAACTGCCCTCTCATCGGGCCCTGGAGGTCCTGTGATCAGGATTGAACCCCCAGCCCCTGTGCCTGCCTTCAGGAGCTTTAATCTGCTGAGCTATTTGGCCGGTCCAAAAGAGGCTTTTTAATAATTGAATAGTCTTGTGTCTGTGACAGGTTCATGGTACGTGTTTGTTCTAAGACTAATGTCTTGAAGCAAAATTACTTGAATTTTATTCACAGCGAGTATTATCTCTCTGTGTGTGTGTGTGTGTGATTGTGTGTATATATGAGAAAGTACATTCGTGGAATGCATAGTGGTGCATATAGTACTGGGGACCGCACCCCGTGGTAATCTTCCAACATCAGACAGCTACATCTATAATCTTTTTTTATGATTAAATAGTCTCAAGCTAAATTGCTTCTGTGGGATGCAAAGTTCTAAACTTCTTGCTTCACTTTCTTTCATTGGCACTGTGGGACTAGAGGTGTGTGCAACCATATCTGGCTTACAGATAGCATTTCTACACTGATAAAGTGTAACAGTTCAGGTTGTGTCTACTACCTGTTGGTTGTTACAGACGCACATAGTCTAGAGGGTGGAGAACAGTGTATTTGAAGATAAATGTCATATGCCCTAAAGTTATTTTTTGTGCACCCTCCAAAGTAGCCCTTTTACATTAAGAGATGCTCAGTCCATCTCCCATGCATCTGTCTCTTTACAGCTTCCAAACCATGCAAATCACCGACAGATATATATTTAGAAGAAGCAATTTTAAAAGAACAGCATAGTCAGATTTTCATCATTTTTGCTTTTTGCAGAATTAGTGTGATACACATAAGAATGAACTAGGACATTTTCTGTGGAATTGTCAAGGTAAAAAGTTACCCAAGAGTATAATCTATTGTGTGCCCTCGTATTAAAGCATGATTCTTCTCCTTTTGCCTGTAGGCTTCCAAAATAGGCCTTGATTAATGAAGTTATATGTGATCAGAATTGTCATCGTACACAACAATGTTAAACACACTACAGTGTAAGTCTTCTGATTTATGCCTCAGTGTCCACCAAAGCCTCCCGTGTTCATAGGCAGGGCTTTTTGTAGGTGAGTGCTTCATGGAGGTGTGATAGTGGTTGATAGATTAGTTCAGTGAAGTGTGTACAGTGAACTATGACACTGGGAAGTGACATGTGGTCGTAGGATTTGGATTGCGGGGTCCTGGCCCGGAGGAGCTATCTCTCCACCTCTGCTTCCTGTCACCACACTACACACTATTTCTCCTCTGCATGCCCTTGTCACCTGGTCCTGCCATGACCCAGTCAATTATGGACTGAAACCTCTACAAACTGTGTGAAAACAGACCTGTCCTCCTTTAAACTGCAACCATTGGGTATCACTTCTCAGTAATGAGAAAGCATCTAAGACTGTAGGAAGCTGAATTGATTTTTAAAAATTTGTTCCCCAAACAATCCTTTGTAAATGAAATATGGATGAGATTAACAATATGCAGATTAATGTCTTAATTTGTTTTGATGCTTCTACATATTCATTCATTTTACATATTTGACTGAAACTGAGAAGAAACAACCCTCTACATACAGCTGTACCAATAATTTCCAATTGGAGTACTTGAAATGTAAAGGATTTCCTTTAATGTAAGAGAAACCTTCCACATGGTCCCAGAGAGCTAACTGAGAGTGTAGAATGTAAGCAGATACCCACCGACAAGGATGGAGTAGAGGATGCCCGGTCTGTCCGAGGGTGGCTGAATATTCCGGTCCTGATCAATGGCTTGGATAGGTGGGGTAACAATAATGGGGTTCAGTTCTTCCTGGAAAAAAATTCAGAGTTTAGTTCAGCCAGATTACTAACACTTTATAGGAAATCTACACTAAGATACTTCAGTTTAGAGAGTTAAACATCAATGAACTGTGAGTTCGGTCAAATTTCAAAATTGGTAATTTAACATCTTACATGAGCTTTGTTTGTTTGTTTGTTTTTTGAGACTAGGTCTTGCCATGTGGTTAAGGCTGACTTCAAACTCATGGCAATCCTCCTGCCTCGGCCTGCTAAATGCTGGGGTTACAGGTGTGAGCCCCCACACCTGGCCTAACACTAGTTAATTTTGAATCCGCAGAGGAGACAACATACACTAAACTACAAATAATATAGTGTATATAGTGTTTTATAGCAGAAATCTAAAACAAAATCATGGAAGAATGGTAATACATTTTTAATCTTTCTAGAATTAATAAAAAGACATGAAGCAAATAATTTATGATGCAAATTTTTCTCTTTTATATAAAATGTACAATATATCTAATGTTTCCTGTGCAACATATGTTTTTACATTTCATTTAAATTAATTTTATTAAAATGAAAATACTTCAAAAATGTTTTAAAATGCTTGAATTCTATAGAAATCTAGAGAGCATCACTGAAGTTTTATATTTAC